TGCCTGTGACTGAGCAGCTTGTAGTGAGCCGCTGCACAGCACCGGGCTGTCAGCAAGGTTCGGATCAGCCCTCGCTTCTGTGCTTCTTGAGAAGAGAGCGAACACAGCAAAGACCTAAACACAGCCCAGAGAAGAAGAAACTCGGAGATGTTTGTGTCCATGGTGCCAGCCACATGGGATGTGACGGAGCATCCTGGAGAGCTGACGTTGGCAGTACTCAGCTCTGTATCTGGGTATCCTTCGTCGAAGGGACGTTGGCAGTACTCAGCTCTGTATCTGGGCATCCTCCGTCGAAGGCAGGCTGCAAAACTCACATCCCCAAAACCCACCCTGGATGCTAGGAAACCATCTACAAATTCACCCTTTCAAACCATGATGCTTGAAGAGGTTTCTTCCTCCTGCTTCTGAGCAACGCCTTGTGAGTCACTTCCCTCTGGGCTCATCACTTTGTCGGGATATTTCTTTATCGCCACCGAATGCACTAAAGGACGCTTATCAGTGTGCTGTAGACCATTAGCCACAGTAATTACCACTGAGCAATGTCCTGCAGGGAGCCGAGGGAAGCCCGTGCCCTGATCTTTGCCTGCTTTATTGTGCAGTCCCCCTTTGCCTCGGAAGCTGCTTTCCGACGAGCCTGCCCCGGCTGCTCATCTGAATTAATGAGGTTCTGCTGCACTTAATTGAGAGTGCTCTCTAAATTGGGGGGGGGTTCAGGGAGGAAATGCAAGAGCCCGAGGGAGCTGAGCAAAGGGAAATATTTATAATGCAGCACGTTAATTATAAATGAGCAGTTTAGCCAATTTTGTTGTTCAGCCTCCCCCTCTGCCCCCCGGAGACCTTTATTTTTTTGCTCCACCGCTTCCTTTCAGCCCTAAATGAGCAGCACCTCCGGATCCCTGCCTGCCTCACAGGTGTTCACACCATGCAGAAAGGCTCCGGGATATGGGATGAGCCGGCCCCGCTGCCTTCCCATCCCATTCCTCAGCATGGGTCTTGCTCTCTGCCTAAATCTCTTGGCTGGGTACAGCCCATCGTCTCTTGGTGCTGTGCAGTGATGGGGTTCTCACCATCCTTCTCAGCTGGCGTCACTACTGGGAGCACTGGTGGGAGAGGAATGCCCCTTACAAGAGGTGCTGATGGTACCCCGGGGTGATGGGGAGGACCTGCAGTGATGTCTCCTGGAGATGACTGACAGGACCTGGTCCCTTTCTGGACCATGTTCAAGGCACACGTGGGTGCCCCAGCTCCACCATCCCCGAAGGGGACACAGTTTTCATGCCAGCCTCTAAAGTGTGGCAGGAAAGCTGGGAAAATCAAAATCTTCACCCACAGGGTTTGTGCAGAGCCATCCTGTGGCGGAGCATAGGATGGCTTGGGGAGGGGGAATTGGCAGACATGTGCGGGGCTCACGGCTCCCTGGCATACCTCCCTTCTTCTTCAGTACCTTCCCCACGTGTACCTCCTGTGTCTGGTGCATATAGACGGCGTGCTGTATATGGCTGTGTGTACCAGGGAGGGTGTGCTTTTGCAGACAGGAGCAGATGGGAGCATCCTTTAGGAAGGCATCATGCAATGCGAGCTGAGAAAGCAGAAAGACCTGGCTGCCTGTGTCAGACTGGATTGTCACTGAGCTTCAGCCCAGCTGCTTGGCACTGCTGAGGGACCGTGGGGTCATCCAGCAGGACAGGTGGGCAGCACTGAATAGGGCTAGCACCAAGAAACTGCCCTTAGTTGCAGGAAGATGAAGCAAGTGATGCCCTGCAGGTTGAACCTGCCATCGGGGCAGCCTGACCTCGCATCCCCATGTGCCCATGGGCAGTTCCCCCAAATCCTGCTCCCACCTCACTCCTGGGGGCTAGTGGCCCCACCTGGGTTAAACTGATGGCTTTAACCCACAGGTTGCAGAAATGATGTGTATTTCCCTGGGGTGACAAATACTTTGCAAAATATGACGGTTTACTTTTCCCACCCTGGGTCTGAAGGAGGAGTGGTATAATTGGTGCCTTTCCATTCTACTCATAAATATAAATTGCACCCCTGTTTCTCAAGCCCCCTGACACTTTCCCCATGCTCCTGAGCATCTTTCCAACAACTTGGATATCTTTTGTCAGGCTATGTGTGAGTGGACACACTGGCTGCCACGATTCCTGCGTTCATGGCAGGAACTTCTCTGCTCTGACCGACCAGAGAGCTGCACATGGATGTCCTCTTCCCAACCCCTTGGGAAGACGTTGGGTTTCCCCCAGTGTGGTGGAAACCTCCCCCTGGCCATGGCTTCGGGTGGCCAGACTCGATGCTGGTGGTGATAGTCCCTGCATCTGGTCCCAGATGGGGCCAGAAATGCAGCAGGATGGGCAGCTGGATGGTCCCCAGGTTATTTGGAGAGGTTTGCTTCACTGAATACATTTGCCAGCAGATGGTGAGAGTTCTCTGACCCTTTGTCCTCCTGCTTTTCCTGGAGGTAAGTTTTCGGGAGAGGGGAAAGCAGAGAGAAGCCAGTGCATCCCGTTTTTCCTGGCTGGAAGAAGACCAAAGGCATCCTTGTCTCTCCCTGTCAGGCTGAGTGTTGCACGCTCAGCCGGCAGATGAGCGTTTCTCTTTTCTTAAAAACTATTTGGACAGGATGGGGACAGTTTTATTTGTTGCTGGCAAAAACCATCAGAGCATGACTATGAATGGTCCTCTATCCGTGCAGAGGCAGGCAGTCAGACCTCCTTCAGATTTATTAGGTTTGGCACTAGCATGGGTTGGACAGATTTTTTTGTTGTTTTTCTAACATCTCAGAAAAATTCTTGCTCTCTGCTGATTCCTGCTTGGGTAAAAAAAAAAAAAGAAATGCAGAGGGCAGGTGAATCAAGTGTTTCATTCAAAACCTTGGTTCTTGGCAGGAGAAGGAGGGGAGAACAGCCCAAAGTATTAAAGCAGAGGGCAGGGAGGGCTGCATGCAGTTCAAGAAAGTTTTTTGTTTGTTTGTTTGTTTAAACTTGACTGGATCTATAGAAGATTAAAAAAAAAAGTCAGGCTCATGGACGTGCATCCGTCAGTGGGCAGCCTGACCAGGGGATGCATTTCACAGAATCACAGAATGGTTTGGGTTGGGAGGGACCTTAAAGATCATCTAGTTCCAACCCCCCTTTCCTAACCAGGTGCGTGGGCAGCCGGCGTGGAGAGCTGCTCGGGGCAACCTGGTTACTGCCAGGCTGGACCACGGCCGCTGTGAGATGGCTGGAGGTGACCACGAGAGTGGATGAGCAGCTTCTCTTGGCCTTCAGCATGTCACAGGAGATCTCCAGGGGTTTGCTAGGTCCCTTGTTGCTCCCAAACTTCTTTTGTCCCCATCCCAGAGCCTGACAGCAAAGGGTCAGGTAGTGCGGGGACGGGCTGTGCTGCCCATGGGAAACTGGGTCCCATCCAGATTACCTGTCGCTGGCTCCGTGTGTTCTCATCTTGGCAAGCTGCAGCTGGGGAAGTTTGGACTCACGAACATTTCCCACGTATGCCTCTTGAACTGCAGCAAATATTTGGGACTCTGCTCCTTGGGCTTGCTGAAATCATTTGGAGGATCGGTAGCTGTCTGCATGCACGGATGTGGGAGCAGAGGAGCAGGTCATCCAGCTCCCACCGTCGCAGGCGATTGCGGTGTAGGGTGACCTTTGCAAACGCCTCTTGAAGTTAAGGAGGGGGCAAAGCTGTGCAGCAAGTCAGGCTGTGAACTGATGATGGTTAGTGAGGGAAGATGCCTGGGATTTGTGTAGTATCGGTTGACTCTACAGCCTAGACCTCTGTGACATCTCTGCTGCAAATCATTTTTCTTCTTTTGATTTAAGATTTTAGGAAAATACAGTGGGGAAAAGGATTGATTTTGAAGTATTCCCTCAAAATCTGCCTACTTGCTCCAAGCAGTCCCTGGGGACATAAAACATAATTTATCTGAGCTGGGCTCAGAGGTGCTTCAGTCATAGAATCATAGAATTGTTTAGTCTGGAAAAGACCCTTAAGATCTTCGAGACTATCTGTAAACCTAACACTGCCAAATCCACCAATGAACCATGTCCCTAAGTGCCACATCTACACATCTTTTAAATACCTCCAGGGATGATGGCCCCACCACTTCCCTGGGCAGCCTGTTCCAATGCTTGACAACCCTTTCAGTGAATAATTTTTTCCTAATATCCCATCTAAACCTCCCCATGTGCAACTTGAGGCCATTTCCACTTGTCCCCTCACTTGTTACTTGGGAGAAGAGACTGACACCCACCCCACCACAGCCTCCTTTCAGGTAGTTCCAGAGAGCAGTAAGGTCTCCCCTCAGCCTCCTGTTCTCCAGGGTAAACAAGAACATGGTAGAACCTTAAAACCCCTTGTGCGTCCCACCAGAAGCAGGGTGCAGTAGACTGGGATGACCAAAGGAGGCTGTGCATCACTCAGTGTCATAGATCATGGGCCCAGGGGTGACAACAAAGGACATTGGCAGGTGCAGGTTCTCTCCTGACGACTCATGAAGCCCCCAGAGGAGTTGTCTGCTGTGCCTGGAGTGACGGTCCTGCTCCAGGAGTGGAGCCTGGTTCGTGTCACATTTATTCACTCTCCATTACTGGTAAGAGACTTTCTGTCCCCCCAAAGCACATCCGTCAAGGCTGTGCAGCCAATATTTCAAGGGCACTGTAGAGTTGGTACAAGAGAAATCTGGATGTAGGGTTTCTGTGTGGTTTCTCCAAAGCTGATAACCACAGACTGATGCAATTGGGGCATTTTGGTCACAGGCAGATGGTGTAACATGGATCATATATAAAATATGCCAGTTCAGTAAATCAGGTAACATTCCCATAGCTGGAGCTGTCGATGGTGAACTCGTAATGTAGAAAGTCACGCTTATATTGATATAAAGTAATGCAAGAGCTCAAGGACACTTCAGAGGTGGCTGGTCATGATGGGAGGGTGATGTTATTGCTATTTCTGTTAATATGCTGTCTTTGTTTCACTTTTTCGCCCTGCTCCAGGACCAAGAAGAAAATAAAGGAGCCACCAGCTGGCCAGAGTTTTATATCGACCAGCTGAATTCAATGGCTGCTGTAAGTATTTCCCCAGCACTTTGGTGCTTGCAAACCCCATATGGGGCAGCAGTGACAGTCTGCAGGATGGCCACCGTTGTACCCGAGAGGGTGACGAGTGTTATTTATAGAGGCAATATCGTCTGTTAGACCAACAGCTGCAAAATGGAGATGTTCCCTACAGCGCACAGGGCATTCCGTCTTGCCCTGGGCTGGGAGGCTGCGAGGGGGATGGCAAACAGCAGCTTACAGCCATCAGGCTGTAAAGACCCCATTTGATCGCACAGTGCTACCGTCTTGGACCCAAGACATCCGTCTGTGCTGGGCAGTCATGGCAAAACACGGCGCTGTGGGTTGTCCATCCCATGGGGGCTGACGGAGCTGCCATGGCTCCAGGTGT